AATATTTTTCAGAGTAGTTCCTACTTGTTTACGAACAAATTTAACCTAGTGTTTAGTTCTTAAAGTACTTTTATAGATATAACTGTGTTTACATTTTTCGGTAGATGAGAGAGCACTGATGCGATTTAGTGGGTACAGATATGTTATATGCTGGAAAATCCTAGGACAAAAACCAACTACGTTTGATCTGGACACGATAGCTCTGACCTATATCATTTAGATTGCGTGAGTACTATTTTTGGTGTTCAAATTCTGCTTTCTTTTCAGTAAAAAAAAAGCTTAATTAATTATTGATTGATTAACACTTCTGAAAAATCTAATTCGATAAATTTATAATGCAATGAAATCAGTCAAATCATTCGTCCCCACCCTTACTTCGGCAATCTGCTTTGGTTTTAGCGCCCTCCCACCATTGCTACCGCTCGGCGTTTTGGTTTTTAATTAATAATTAACTAATGACATCGCAACAAAAAAAGATGAAACCGATTGATATCGCCACTAAAATCGAAATACAATCGATTTGACCGGTCGTCATTAGAAAATATTCAATTTTTAAATAATTTCAGGCTAAGTACACGCCCAAACTTAATTTATTAATTAAAATAATTGGGAAATATTACCACACAATTATACATCCATTACAATCAAGTACTAACCCAATACAATCGAATACAATGACGCTTATCCCTATCACTGAACTTTTCAGGTCAAGTACATGGCGGTGGAATACGACGCAGACTTTACCCCCTTGTGGTGCATTCTGGGTAACGCCAAAAAAGTCTGGCAGGGCTTCCAAAGACATCTCTTTTAAAAACGTAATGCAACCCACATTTGCCGACCCTTTTCCCGAATTCCTGAGACAAAACACTTCAGAAAACCGTCGTCAGACTGCGGCGCCAAAAATATTGAAATCCCGCCCTATTTAAAAATACAATAACTACTCATTAAATATAACTTTAACAACTTACATTAGCAATTAACAGAATGTCATTTTTCAGCATTGATATTATTCCTTGAAAAGCTATCGTGTTCCGTACGATATCTTTATGATCGGTAATCACTTGGTAATAATTCTTCGGTTCTGCTACGTCTTCTCCTGCAATAAAAGACTTCCGTCATGAGATTCATCAATCTTACTCCAAAAACACATTTTCAAAACTGTCATATATTTATGAACTATTTTTGAGGCCGTTGATGTAATTTCGAGAAAATTTTTTACATGGTCAAAACTATCTAGCATCTAGATTTTAAGGATCCGGATAAATTTTGGCATTTTAACTGTAGTTGTAATAATTTTTGTAATGACTTCGGGCACGTCAAATACTTGTTCTGAAGGGGCCAGTGTTCCATTTTAATTTTCACTGCCGCTAAAATGACTCATAAATTTTGTTACTAAATCGGTTATCTTAGTCCGACTCATAAGTGAAGATTATCGTGTATTAGTCTTAGCAGTAATTTGATTTGCATTCAAAAATGAAACTACCTTCCTGTACTTCCGCGCCAAATGTATCTCTTCTTGATCTTCCATGAGAAGGTCTTTGCCCCCATTGCTTGATCCCTGCATGAATCATGAGTAGATTGTTTACCATTTCATTGAAAGAACTTTGTAATTTCTCAATGCTGGGTGAGATTATAATCGTAGGTATTTGCAGTACAAATTGTGTCCGAAGTAATGGCACTTCATGATGGGATTGAGTGATATCCCGCAAGTTGATACTACAAAGAAAATGTTTATTAGAATATGCTAACATTGCTAGCAGATGCTCTTCACATTCTACTCAAAAAATCAAAACGGAGATAAAATTTGCTTTCATTACACAGTATTCTGGAGGGATAGGGAAATAAAAATTCTACTACTCTGCCTTGGAATTTTAGAACTAGACATCTCAAACTTTTACGACTCTGCATTGTACAATAATTTTTTAATTTTACATGTCCTTCCCTTAACGCTTAACCCTTGAAAAAATCAAATACATTTAGCTGCTTACCAAAATTCATAAAGTCTCATCCTCAGCACTATTTCAAGAAAAAGGTAAACAAAACTTAATAAATTTAAACGATATTGATAATTGAAACAGTTATGATAGATTGCAATTTATAATTTTGGCTGTTCAGCTTTCGCGTGAACATGTCAACCAATTTTGAAGCTATCAAATCGTCCTATAACACACTTAATAGTCTGACAAATTCGGAAAAATAAAATATGATACGTGGCATCATTGAAAATTTGACTAGTCCCGCAAGAGAAAAAGTGTTATATTGTAACGAGATTTTCTCGTTACGAGAATTAAGCAACGGTGAAATAACATAGCTAAGCCCACATGGGTATACGATAGAGGAAAAGATTATTATTTTTGAAATTAAAAAGACCAATGGTAACAACACTCTACTGTACTGCTTGGAGTATAATTGTAATAATTATCTACCGTACTAGAAATAATAATACCAATGAGAACGCATGAATATAGAATAGTACAGCTTTGCACACATGTCACGCAACATGCTCATGACGGCTCTCCTTCTATAGATAGTACATTAGACAAAATGCACCGATCGTTTTTCACCGTTTATCAAAATTATCTAGAAATCTGACATTGTGGTTTTTGTCATTAAATTTTTACCCAATCTCAACCTACCTCGAAGTCCCAATCCGGTTTTTCAGCATCTCTAATGATTTCTTCGTGCATTTCACTAAGGCTTCAGTAAGTTTATTATTGAAATGAGTGAAAACATCCATACAATCATTTTGTATTCGGGTAATATTAACAGGAGCAAAAGCATCAATATCAGCGAATTCTGTTGAAAAACAGAAGAACAGTTAAAAAGAAAGGAGTTATTGCTTATCCAATAGACGTGATTTTGGAAAAACAAATGATTTCTAATGAGGATGGATTTGTAGTTACGCGCCCTACCCGCTAAGCCATTCGAGGATTATTTTATTATTAAAAATTTTATAGAACGAGTCTAGCTATACCGTCAGACATAGATTCAAAATCAGAGAAATTGACTCTTCTCATTATTTACTTCTCACTATTTCTTGTGATATTGAAAATTGTATTTGAGGCTAAAAATAATGGATGATTGATTGAATATCGAACTCCTTCCGTCCGACAGCAAAGGTGGTTTCTTCCATCCAGGCCTATCATGAATTGACTCAACGGTCTTACGATTTTCGATTAAAGGATTTAGTTTGCGAGAATTTATTTTGAAAAACTAATAACAATAATGTCGTACTTGTTTCCGTCTGATCTTTCGGAGCTCCAACTTCAGCTCCTCCAAGTTTGGATATCCGCTCCGGATCAAGCCAAGCACATAATTCTTCTCCTGTCTCCGATGAAACTACTAAGTTCAAACACTTATTGATTATGGTTATAACTGCTTTCTCAGTGATTGCGGCTTTCAACGCCAATTCAACGCCAATCGTAGTACTAAAAGTCCGATGGTTAGCTACAAACACTTCCGGACTCAAAGCTAAATTTTCTAATTTTATGATTGGAGTTTCTGCAATTCTCTGGAATATTTCATCCACTCTCGCTTCCTTTATATCATTCACCTCTTTTATGAAAATCTTAATATCCGCTATAACTGTTTCAATACGCTGGCATATTTGAGGGATTCCGAGAGAATTCCAAATGATTATTGAAATGCATGGTTGAAATACCATCTGTAGTTTTGCAAATACCGGCTTCATCAAGTTTCGGAATAGGCCTGGTATTGACTGTCGCACCTCGTCACTCTGTTCTATCAATTGTTGAATATTCGCAAAAGTTGCGATGATTTTGTCTTTAGAAAGGGTCGTCACCTGAATAAATTCTGGTACTTGGAAATTCAGTCTTGAAATGTATTCGGCTTCACAGAATACTCGATATATATATGAATCAAAATTCACAATATATCTATTAGTTTTTGAATGTATAAGTAACAGCGGCGATGCTAAAGCTAGGCGAACGACTGATGCAGAATCGAACCAGGCTCTATGGTGTATCATTTCGTAGTGAGTGAATACATTGAGAATCGCATTATAAGTTTTTATGCATTTCTGCATTTTATCATGTATAATGACTTTTCGTCGGAGTTTAAAAATTTCCATAGGTTTTTGAAGGCATCTGCTCAAATGCTGAACCCACAAAATTCTTTCAACAACCGTCGGAATATTTCTGGCTATTACTGGGGAAGATCTGCCTTCATTGTAAATATCTCTAATTGTATCGATTTTTGATTCATACATTGGAATGAGCTTCAAATATTTTGAATCGATCCACAAACGATCAAGATTCAATTTTTGAAATCTACGGCAATATAAAAATTTGTTCAGTAACCATACTTTTCAAAGATAACTTCTTTCTGAAAACAATTTTGAGTACCTGAGTACGATTGTGAGTGCCTCATCAATATTCGTCGCCAGCGCTAATACTGTTGAAATGAAGTTCCTCAGATCGTCTTCTGCTACTAGTACATTTTTCTTGAATTCTTCATAATCGTTATTAAAATCAAGTCTTCTGTGATCTAAATAATCATAAGGCTGGGATACCAATTTATGGAAAATCATCGCAAATTTGTTTGCAAATACATCGATGCCTTCTATTGTTGAACTATGCAAAATTGAATGTGACAAATTCATCCGGAGGACGTCGATCAACTGAAATAAGATCATAGATATCTTCGGGTTCTTAAAACTTCTTTCCTTATGGTTGTATAGAATTTGATATTTATGAGTGGAAATTAGACAACCAAGGAGGAAACGCTTATATTCAAGCCGTAAACTTCCCAGGAAGTTGTCTGCGGATTTGAGAATTTTTATTAATGATAATTCAATGAGATCGGTAGCGCAGGTTACGCACATACCATTTCATCTCTCTGCATCATGACACTTCTATTTCAGCTTTCACTTACCGGACACTACCAGCACAGTTGGAGATCGATTTTTTTTTATGCATTTAATAAATTTCTATTTAATAGGGAAAATTCCTTCAAAAAGGAGTTTTGTCTACATTGTTCTTACAGAAAGAAAATTTACTTACTTTATCCAGTCTTTGTTTAAAAGTATCAAACTTTCCAAACACAGAAATTGGAGAAATTTCAAAATGTAACCGTTCTTCAATCGTATCATCCATCTTCTTTGCCATTTGCGCATTGCAGATTTTGTAGTACTGCTCGTAAAGATTGATGCAATCCTTAATCCGTGAAATTAGACTACTTTTACAATCTCGCCAGATATCAAGCATCCCATTCTCTGTCAAGTAAGCTTTACATGAAAGTATCATTTGGTTGGTGATCTAAATCATCAACAACACGATATAAAGATGCTATTCGATATTTGAATAGTGAACCTCAGATTATTTAAATTAGTTTAATGACCTTAACAAATATGGATGTTAACATTCGCTTGGTATTGAAAAATCTCGACGTCGAGTATATCATTTGAATCGCATACATTAAGCCAGGTAAATAATCACTAATTTCTGTTGGTTTTAGTCGATACAAGGGTTCAGTTAATTTTTCAAGTGAGTGGAGATAGTTGATATTATCTCGTGCTAATACTTCCATGTTAACAACGTCATCTTCTAATTTCTTCCATGTCTAAGGGATATGTTTTGTATTTGATTAATAATTTTTTTAGTTTCAACTAATCATTTTCACTTACGTTCCCAAGCTTAGAATCGACCACAACAACTAGACTTATTAATCGTGTTATTTCAGGATGTTTCATATGCTCCGAAATAAATGAAAATTGCATTAGAATATGTCGCCAATACATCAATTCAAAATTTGGCCCGAAGTCTTCACTCTCGCGTTGGACTTGTTGGCTTTCCACCAGTACCTAGTTGGTAAAACAAAAATACATCAGTAAAACTTGTTATCGGCGCCGCAGTTGACTATGATTAAGTTAAAAAAAAAATAATATAATACAATAGACAGTAAGGGGAAGTTTTGAGACACAACCCCCATAATAAAATGGAATGTCGGTATATGCAGGTTCATTCTCGATTATATGAAGCAACGACAATAGAAAAAACCACGGGCAGGTACTGAAATAGTCATCATTGTGCCTTCAAAGATATTTAAGATGTAAAAATCAAGAAACAAAAAACTAGAAACCACGAATCACCTAAAAAAAGGCATACAAATGTCTGCACACATTTTTAAGGGGGTATTTTTCTTCCCTTTATTGAATAGGGGAACCAAAGCCTGAACAATCACTTAATGGTAACGACAGATGGAAAGAGCCCCAAAGAAGGCAGGTCATCGGCATTGGACTACTTTCACTACGCTGTAACCATTGTAGGTTACAGAAAGTTGGCCCGGATCAGGGCATCCCCATGGTGAGGTACTCCGTCCAGAAGCATCCCTTTAAGCTGCATTGCTAGAGATGTCAAGAATCTCTCTTTTACACCCTAGACGCGCTGGACAAAGAAAAATGAAAACCCTAACGGTCAAGGGGAAGTCATGGCAAAAAGGTACATAATGAGCTATTTTTCATCACATTAACTCAGTCTAAACTAAACTTTTCCTGATCTTCAAAGCGGTACTTTACGCATCATTCAGCTGACTTTCCAGGTCCGTCTTCATAAGCTTAACTACGACTGACGCCTAGTCTGAGTGGACAGCTCGGCTCTGTAAATCTCTGAGATGCGGGATGTTTCTCCCATCCGGTGACCAATTCTGCAGACCGGCTCTAGAGCCGCGACTGGCAACTTGGACGCATCGGGCTTACGGGGGTCCCGAGCTTCATTAGTGTGAGTTGGCTTTATCCACTTAACACAGCTATCTGTTTCAATTCGATTTTTCTCTCTCCTTGAGCCTTGGTTCGAACGATACCGGTAGAGGGCGACGGAGTGGGAATTTTCAACTTTCCATCAATTTGAAATATAAATGTCAATTTTTAATTCGAAATTGGCAGTAATATTAGAAAAACAATTATTTGAATGCTTTCATTATGAGAAATAATCCTCAACAATTATTTTATAAACAATCGTTGCTGAAAAATGAATATAACTCTGATAAGAATTCTAAAGATTGAGAGAGAATGAATTCAGTGAGGCTGACTGAGTCTACTGGTAACAAAATCGTTCTTGGGGCCAGAGGGTTAGTTGAGACCAACCTGGCGAGATAACAAGCAATTATGTCTTAGAGAGACACTTCCGAATCGACGGTCTGCAGAGAGCAAGTCTAATATAAGAACTTCTTAACCCTATAAAAGGAAGAAGCAACTAGAGAGTTTACCTAGCTGAGCACTGAACCCGCTCGAGGGGAACTATAGTTAGAGATCAAGACAGTTAAGTTCTCGATCCGATAGGGGAGAGGTATGCCTAGAGAGTAACGCTGTTGTCTCCTCAGATTCCGAGGAGGAGAGGAGAGAAATAGCATTGATGGGAGCTGTGTAGGTAATTACATCTCGATCCCAAGAGAAGAGAGCGCCCTACTCAGCGAAGAGGCTGAGAGTTGTTAAGCGGGGCGCTTAGAGAGCCAGGCAGAGAGTTCAGTGTTCGAGGCGAGCTGAGCACGAACTAAGAGCGAGTGCCTGTTGTGCGGGGGATTATATAGCCCGAGACAGCACAGGCAAAATGAAGGTAGAATATCATGGGACGTAGTGCCTAATGTTCCCCATTAAGTTACCGAAACGTAGACTTACGGGAAATAGGTAATGCAGCGGCGGCTACATCGTTATATTAATGAATACAAAAAAATTTGCATTTAACATATTGAAATTTCTACAATCGCTTGACAAACAAAGCAAGTTAGGTCTGCATGAGGCTTATGGCAGCCCTTCGCAAAAAGACCGCTTGACTTGTTAATTTTTTAATTTTCAGTTTTCATTAATAATAGGTAAGGATAGAACTGGGAATCCCCCTAATAACTGACAAGTGTGCCCGAGATTTTCAATGAATGACGATACTGAATAGAAAAAGCCATTTATATTATGCGTTATCATATAATGAATGTGGGTTTCTTAGAAATCTAAACGTTCGAATTGGACTATCAAAAATGAACTTGAACAATAGGAAATTGGAAAAAATTGTGGGAAAACCGGCAATAATCAGTTTTATTAAAGGAGAATTTGATCGCGAATATCGTGAATTGAAGAATTCTGAACGGCTCACATAATTGGCTTATTCTATCGATTTCATCAAACTTGTTAATAATATTAACTTTCAAATGCCGGGAAATGGGAAATTTTTCTGGGATAACGTACAGGCTATGACTGTCCTGAGAATGTTGTTCAAAAGAATTTGTTCGGAGCGGAATCTGGTTTTTGGGGATATTTTCAGGTGATGGACGAGATGCAAGTGGATTACGGGAGAATGTGTGAGACGATGAAAAAATTCACTCGCGTGGCGTCATCACGAAACTAAATTTAATTAACAATAAAAGTCACTGTTAACACGTTATTATGTCACAAAACAGAGCTGGGCAATGACGAAATATAATTCAATTAATTATTGACTTCGTTCCGATAAGAACTAATAAATGAGCGGATCAATTAATTCAACAAACGAGAAGTACTGAGAAAAGCGCGTGAACACTTTCACGGTCGATATGCTAATCAGAGAGACTGATAAGCCGCATGGTGTCGATCATCGCGATGCTCAATTACACATGTCAATTAAGTGGCGCCTCAGGTATCAGAGGTAAAAGGCTGCTGGTCATCTGAGGTGAGCGAGCGAGTCAATCAGCTGAGCGGGTCATGTGTGTTGAGTGCGTGTATGTGTGGAAGAAAAGTTCGGTGAAAAACCGAACAGAATTCAAGGCAATTTTTATAAAAATATAGTTCTGTCTATGTCAGAGTCGATGGTAGAAGGATGCAGCAACACATCGATTAATGACCAATCTTTCGCAGAATAGCCGTAAGAATTATATGATGATTGGAATAAATGGTTCCCCGATAGAGACGATTCACAGTACTTGTGTCACTTTTTTCTAGCTTTAACAGCTTGTGTGTACGATTTCCTCCTATTTCCTTCATTTTTCGGTCCTTCGCATTACCCGCGACGGTAGACGTCCACCACCTTCTCGTCGTTTCCATTGAAGAACATTTCATAATATTGGCCAAGAGTAGACAATTACTTAAAAATCTTTCAATTTTTTGTATTTCAAATGCCCAAATTTTTTCGAAAAATTTCCCATTTTGTCCCAGATTGACAGTTCATCGAAATTACAGTGTCGCGGATCCCGCGGTTTTTTTCGCGGATCTCGCGGTTTTTTCTTCTTGATGATTCTCGTAATCTTGTAATTATGCAACGGTTTTGGGGAACAGCTGCCAACAGGCGGAGTATGACTCATGCTCCTCGTGCGCAAGAGTGTACTCCCCCCTGGCCACCAGGCTAAGATCTGGAAACGGCACGAGGCCACTCGACTCCCCGATAATCCGGAAGGTAAAAGATGTCGGGTTAATGAGAAGTCTATGACAATCAACCGCCGTCACAGAAGCCGCGAAACAGAGATGGGGAGCCCGACTTTAGATGCAATATGGCTTAGCGCCCTGCAACAACCCCCGCTCCCAAGAGGGCC